TCCAGTGAGTCACCTGAAGCCTGCTCCTAACCCAAAGAACTAATTTAGGCAAATATAAGCTACAATGGTCAATCTGACCCCCCTCCCTAAAGTTCTGTCAGGGCACAGCCCACTAATTCCAGCCCCTATTGGAATATATAGAAAACATCTAAGAACTGAGCTGTCAACAATCACCTACTTGAGTGTTCAACTATTGCAAACACACACTGACAGGGTAGTCCAACTTCCAAATTGTCCATTTAGTCCAAAAATTTAACTTTTTGACCAGCGGTACTAGCACGGCAAATCCAAACACTGGCAGCATGACCTCTGACCCCCATGAAGACCACCAAAAGACAAGAAGATGGGATTAGTTTTAGAACTCTACCAAGCAGCCAAAACAACACTAACGGCCAGTTTTTTTCAAGTAAGTAGAAATAGAAATAACTCCCCAGCTGGAAAATGCCAGCATTTATCCACACATACCAAGAAAAAGGCTGTTTTCAGTTGGTTTGGATGCGGTTATCAAAGGGGTCTCAGGCTGGGCCCTCTGGGCATGCGCCAATTGGTGACCTTTGCCCACTAGGAGACATGTCAGAGCTACTGGTGCTCTAAAGAGGTCAGAGGTCAGCCTAAGTTTCCTCATCTCAAGAGATAGCAAAAACATAGCCTACATTACTGACATTTCTGTAAGCCCAAGTGCTTATTATTTCTTGTCAATTGTTCGACCAGTAGAGATTGATCGGAGCTATTCTCGGCAGACTAGACAGACTGGGAGGAGGAAGGTTGGTGAAAAATCTGATATTTCCGCGTTTAATTAGAGATATTCGCTCGTTAGTGATAACGGAATGACGGTTGTAAATGTCACAGGAACAGGATGAAAGGTCGGGTGGGTTTGGGAGGAAATGGGCAGGATTTGAGCCAGAGGCCGCGGTAGTGTGTTAAACTGGCTGTAGACTGGTTGTAAGTTCTTGTATACATATAGAATACAACACGGGGTATTCCGTATCGCCCGAGGTACCAGCCCGACCGCGCGTCGGATCGCCCGACGGCCGAAGGCCGGAGGGAGATCCGATCCGCGGGAGGGCTGGGACCGAGGGTGATGCGGAATACACCGTGTTGTATTTTATTTATGTCATACCCACCCAAGAAAACAGCCTTTTAATGCGAAATAGGCGAACATTTGGTGTCCCTAAGCCCAAACAATGCAACAACATCAATTCCAACGTCCGAATTTTGTGTTCGAATTTTCAAAAGCGGTGCAAGCTGTTAGGGCGAAACGCGTTCGAATCGTTCTATGGAGCATTTGGAAGCCCAGGGCCGTACGCGTTAAGAACCCCCGGGCCGTACCGCTAGTTATCACACGGGCCGGAACACCCGTATCGAACGTAATCGCGGCCCAGGTAGGACATAAAACATGTTATACATGGATAATATATCACTAGACTACATGTATGCATGTACTGAGTACTGTTTCAAGATGTGTTGCATTTTAAGAGGATTTCATGGTTAATCATTTTTTCTTGCAAGGGAAGCTGTTAAGATTTAAATGGAGCATTGCTTAACTTGTTAATCTGAGGTAACTTTTGTGGGATGTGTTGTCAAACTAGACATGTATGTTGGCTAGCTTTTGTTAATGTGACTCAAAAACACAAAAACCAATGTGGTTGTAGGTACAAGCTATCCATTTGACTTACAAGGGACCATACAAATGTTCTTTGTTACTCCAAAACTGAACATATTTCATAATCATATCTTCATTGGTTAGAAATAAGAAAGAACTTTCTTTACAGAAAGCACTCCCACTTGAAGTGTATTTTGTATTTAAACAATAGTTGTTTCCTTAGCTGTATATGATTTAATTTTGTCTGGAAAATAAATCGACCTTACTGGATGATCCGGACCAGAAGAAGAGTACTGTATATTGGAGTTAGGCCAGGTCTAGTCACTGTTGATATCCCCCATCCTGTGCTGGTAGGGCTGAGGAATAGGAAAGTGACTCTGAGTCATTACTGGGGTATGGTGCAGTGTTCTGAAGAATTAGGGTCAGATATCTTGAGCAGTTCCCACTGCTGGAAGTGTTGGACATTGTAGTGCTCTTTCGGGATGATCTGTAGCAGAAAGTTCTACCTATAAATTAGTCTTCGCTACATGTAAGTATCAAGACATATTCTCATATCATGTAGTTTTAACTTTTTTTTTCAACTCTGTTGTGGAATGTCTCATGCTATGGTAATAAGCAGGAATGGTTTTTAACTGAAGCTATGGATTGAAACAACATTGGAATGCTTTTTTTATTTGTACTGTAAAACCTTTAGTTTGTTTATTAGAGTAGGATTGTATCTCTGTCTTATACCCCTCTGGTGTTTTTGTTTTCATATCTAATACAACTGTATTACAAGAGATTTTGCTTGTTAATCCATCAAAGTAGTGTTTTTGTGGACATTTCAGATCTTTGGGTCTTCCCCATGCATCAAGTTGAAGTTCAAATCTGGGTGACCCTGTCTCTTCCTTCTGACTCATATATTTTCATTGAGTGACATTCCTTAAACCTCAACTGACCTTTCCAGGTTAAGGTCTTGGCATGAAAGGGAACGGTGATAAAATCTCTCCCTGTAATGTTGTTTCAGGGTCTCAGTTCAAATGTTCACCTCAATTAATTACCTGGTGCCTTTACTGACAAACATCTGGCCTTAGTGATTCTCTTTTTACCTGGGTGAAGGAGGTATTGTTTTGGGTGTGTCTGTCAGCCTAATTGTCTCTATGTGCTTTTGGATTTCTGGCCTTTTTTAGCTAGCATAACTCTAGAAGTTATTGCTTGTGCTAAAGCTAGTGCCTTTACTGACAACATCTGGTCTGTGTGATTCTCTTTTTTGCCTAGGTTAAGGAGGTATTATTTTGGGTGTGTCAGTATGTTTCTGGGTTTCTGGCCTATTTTGGTCAGTATAACTCCAGAAGCTATGGGTGGATTATGACTGTTTTTGGTGTGTGGGTTAAAGTGTTTAGAAGGCCAAAAACGAAGTTGATTTTGTGCTTTCAAGAGGAATTTTTCGGTACTACAGCAAATTTGCCTTTTTTGTCCCACTACTTTCCCTTACTTCAGACTTCAAAGCCTCTTCATATATATCTCTAATACTACGTGTATTTCAAAAGAGTAGGCACCAGCATGGAGAGATAGATAATATTGTTTTGCATTTAGGATTTATGAAAATGTTCTCGGCGACCTTTACTGTAATTTCTGGGCTCACACATAGAGTGCAATAATTGTATTTCTACGTGTCATTGACCATGTTTCACTTTAGGGACAAAAGTTACACTTTTTTACAAACAATAGCACAGAAGTTTTGTCTTTTCTGTAAGAAACAAAGAAGATAGACAAACATAAGGTAGAAAGAAAGAAGATACAGTAACTCAAACAACTGGATATGATTTTGCAAACAGTCAGACATTTCAGAAAGCTTCCTCTACATTTGTACCTTTCGTCAGTGACACTGGAGAGAAGTCTCGAAAACAGCATGTTTTAAGCACTGAGTCAGACATTTAATGAAATATTTTTGATGGGTACAGGTACAGGTATTTGGTACACAGCCCTATTAGGAAGTGGTTTTGGTCCGTAATGACAGATAGATAGGAGGACATCTGTACAAAGTAAGGCTCCATTAAACCCAAATGGATCCTCCTAATGGACCAGACCATTCAACAGATGGGGAGACAATGACAGCTATTTAAACAGATGGGTGTGAAATGGTCCCAGGCCGTCAGGCCTTCCTTGTTCCAATAATTGTGACATTTGTCTGTGTTTTCTCCCAGTTACTGCAGTTTGAGTGCAGCCCTGCAAGTCTGTTTTGTAATGGCTTTGCCTGTAAAATTCAGCTTTGTATCACTAAGTTCTTGATGGTGCCATAAAGACATTGAATGCAAGGAATAGTGAAGCCGTTATTATGTAACAAGTCTTACTACCCTTCAAAGGGCAATGTTGTATATCCAGACTGTGTAAGTAAGTCTGACAGATAGCTCACGGAATGGCTGTAACGTCTCCTTAACCAAAGTGAGCTGTGTGAAATGGAAGATTTGTGGTCCTAACCATCTGTATGTAACGTGTCGTTGGACTCCATGTAAGGGGGCCTGTATGCCTTTTTGCGATAAGGCATAGCCAGACATTTATATTTATTTATATCAGACTTCTTGAATTCTATAAACTGGACTTAATGACTAGTTAAACTCACATAAGTAAGTAAGGCGTGTTTGCAAAACTGGTGTGTTTTACCAAAGGCAGGTATGCCAGTTGACCAATACAGATACATGTGTAGTATGTGCGTATGTACTAGTGCTTGTAGTTGTGTCAATGGCTGGATGGTTAGGCTAGTAGATACAGGATGGAGAAGTGACAAGCTTGATTCCTGGTATTCCACTGTTTGTGCTGTTGTGTTCTTGGGAAAGGCACTTAACACGACTTTCCACATTCCACCCAGGTGTAAAATGTTACCTTGGCTGGGGAGGTAAAAGGTGGTGGAAGGAGAGGGTTAGGCTCTGGCTTCCAATGCCTTGCCCTATCCACAGTGGATTAACAACTTATTACTACAGCCTCAGAAAGACTCTGAGACCTTTACATTCATACAGTGATCTCTAATTCTTACCACTGTTAACTTTTCTTTTATTTCCAGAATGTTTGCATGGCATCAGTAGTGGTGGAAGGAGAGGGTTAGGCTCTGGCTTCCAATGCCTTGCCCTATCCACAGTGGATTAACAACTTATTACTACAGCCTCAGAAAGACTCTGAGACCTTAACATTCATACAGTGATCTCTAATTCTTACCACTGTTAACTTTTCCTTCGTTTCCAGAATGTTTGCATGGCATCAGTAGTGGTGGAAGGAGAGGGATAGACTCTGGCTTCCAATGCCATGCCCTATCCACATTGGATTAACAACCTACTACTACAGCCTCAGAAAGACTGTGAAACTTAACATTCATACAGTGATGACCCATTCTTACCACTGTTACATTTTCCATTGTCTCCAGAATGTTTACGTGAACATCAACCGAATCATGTCAGTGGCGCAGCGGCTTGCGGACGCCGGACACTACGCCGCCCAGCAGATCCGACAGCAGGCCAGCAAGCTTGACCGGGAGTGGAAGACGTTTGCGGGAGGGCTGGACGAACGAAGCACGCTACTCGCCATGTCAGTCATGTTTCACACCAAGGCAGAAGAGGTTCGGTAGTTTCTTTTTTTCTTTTATTTAAAAGAAAACACATTGTTTTTGCTCTGTTTCCTCTTCCATTCCAAACACCAAAGGTCACGTGATGTCTGTCACCATGGTAATTAGTGTTGGCTTACATCATGTTAGATTTACGTTTTGTTAGATTAAAGATTGATATGATTGAATTTTTGGCAAGACAATTTGCTAAACAACAAGAGCCTTAAAAATCACAAGAAAATGGGAGATTTTTCTGCAGAAATTGTATGATATACCACTGTATACTGTGTGTACTGTGTACCTGTTTCATTGTCAACATTACGTTGCGCATTAAGACCCCCTCTTGTTTTCCGCAGTACTTAACTCAGGTGCCAGTGTGGACGGAGTCTTGCCAGGTGGAGAACTTACCTGCAGATGTGGAGAACCTGGAAGAGTCCATCCACAAACACCAGGGACTGTACGAGACCATCAACCAGAAGTATAGTGAGGTGGGAAGGATAATTATACTCCTGTGGCCGATAGACTCATACTGACTGTCCATCGTAATTAGTAGTTCAACCAATGACAGCCGAGCAATTAGCAGTTTGACTAATGAGAGAGTGGCTTCATACATGTATCTGTGAAATATCTGCATGTTTTTTATTTCGCAAATCTTCATTTTGACAGGTGATGTTGGGCTATGGGATTGGTCAATTACTTAGTAGAAAACAGGTCCTATACGCTAGTGTGTACTGTATTGCATTTCCTACTTAAGTCACTAGGGGGCATTGTGAAATGTCATCTCTGAAGGGACTACTTGTGAAATTTAAAGGGCTGGGATGTCGGCTTTGTGAGAAGTTCACCTTTCATTACCTATAGCTATAGACCAGTGTCCTGTTACTTTCATGCAGGCTGTTACTATTACTTTTTAATTTTTTCTTGCAGGTTTGCATAGATGGTTGACAGAAAGTTTGTGAGCTGTTATGTTATAATGGATGTTACATTTTGTTCTCCCCAGGTATGTATAGATGGGAAGACCCTGTTGGACTCGCTGCAGCAGCCGGTCAGCCCGAGCACGTCCAACTCCATGACGGCGCAGGCGGACTACTCCACGGCGGCGCAGCACGTGCTGGACCTGGTGCACGAGATCCTGGAGAAACATCGCCAGCTTGAGGAGGTCTGGCAGCACAAGAAGCTCCGCCTCAGTCAGCGCCTGCAGCTCTGTGTCTTCCAGACTGATGTACAACAGGTAAGGAACAAGCCCAATCAAAACTATCAAACTATCAAAAATATCTTCTCATCTCTAACTTGAACCAAAGCTCCGGGTGAAGATACAAGCCATGTGATTGGCTGTAGGTTGAGATACAAGCTGTCTGATAGGCTGTATGCTACAAAAGAATGCTTCATAGACCAAAGGACCAATAAAAATGATTGCAAATAGACAGTGCAAGAAACTATTCACCAAATCTTTGACAGTGATAGTTGAGGAAATATTCAGAAAAAGGACTTTGAATTAGTCTGGAGACAAGTCTATATTACCTGAGTGTATATAAATGAATATCTTAACTGCTATAATGTTAATGTGCTATTACAGGTTATTGAATGGATAGACGACCATGGTGAAGGTTTCCTCAGTAAGCACACGGGCGTCGGGAAGTCCCTCCATCGAGCACGGGCCCTGCAGAAGAGACATGAAGACTTTGAAGAAGTCGCAAAGGTAGGACAGTATGTGATAATTATGTTCTGATGTTTAAAGTTAAAACTTTTGGTCCAACACAAAAAGTTCTCGCACCTAGGAGCTTTTGACTCTGGTCTTCAGTAGACTGACCCAGTGAGGCTTGTCACGTGGCTTCTTTGAAGGCTACTTTAAACATGTAACTACCAACACAGATGAACTTTCATGATAGGATATGTTGGGATGTACTACCAAGTAGATTGGATTCATTCCTCAAGCTAACCGACATCTAGAACACCACAGTCATCCCTCAGTAAGACACCTGGAACTGCACAGTTCCCATTTAGAACTTTTATTCAGCCTGTCCTGTCGGCTTCTTTAGGTATACAGAGGATATGTTGGGATGTACTCTTCCTCTGAAGGAGGATACATTTTATGAAGGTGAAACGCTACTTCAGTTGCCTATTGTTTTTTCACATTGTCACAGTTTTGACTCGGCTCCTTTTCTTTGCCAGCAAATAAGGGGTTGGAACCTTCTTATTTGTAGTTATTGCAAGCTAATGATGTGATGATCACTATTGAAATGTTTTGTCAAAAAAAAGGATTTTTTCTGTGTAGTGGTTTTGTGGTCAGGACAAAGTGTTCACGTTTAAGAGAAGGGTATTTTGCTAGATTTTGTTTAATCACCTTTGATGGTAGACTCTTGAGAAATAGGTTAAGTGGACAGGTGATGCCTGGACTTAGGCAGGGCAACAGGTAACACTCTGTGTTTTTGTATTCTTATCAGAAAATTCTGTCTTCCGATATGCATGTGTCATGAAAGTCATTTTCCATGCTTGTGTTATATGATTATTGTACAGTAACTGTAATGCACAGTGCATTATAGGCACAAAGTACGCTTGAATCCCTGGGTTTCGTTTGTTCCATTGCCAATCTCGGAGCCTGTCTTTTTGTTGTTGTTACTTAAGTTTAGTCCAAGTGTAAAACTAGCAGATAATTCCTGTTTGGATTGTAATGATACTTGGCTTCTCTGCTTCAGAATCTTTGCCTTCAAATTTGATGCCAGATTACTCTTGCTATGTGACCCCACGGCTTGTATCCCCAGTACAAAGAGATCCAGCCAGGCATGCCTAATTTGTTAGTTTTACACTAAATCCCACCAATATTCAATTTACTCAGAGATACTTCCCCAAGTAATGCTTGTTTCCTTAGTGAATGGTTGGGAAGGTTGGCTAAGACTTGTTTCTTTATTTTGAAGTGACTAGAAGTAGCACAGAAGCCGAGTGTGTATTCACACAGCCTGTGTGGTCTTTAATACAGACATTCTTCTGAATGTGTTTGGATACGTACTTCTGAAAGTTATGTTTGCAAAGTCTTTGTAAAGGATATGTAGAAATATCCCAGTCCATTTTGAGTGAAAGAAAAGTGGATGTACATGAAGAAAGTGGCGGGTTCACGTTAGGGTCAGATATGACTAAAAAGAATGAATCTTTTACAAACTGTAGCTATTCTTCCTATGGTCCATTCTGACAATTGTACACACGTACAACACAGAGGGAATATATCAAACATAAACTAACATTAGCAAAAATACTAACAGTTTTACACATAACATCTATATACATCATTACAAGGATTCTATACATCACTACAACTTCATCTCATTCCAGGCACCAGCCATCCTGTACAAAAATCTCTTTTTCTGTGCATTTGTTCTGGGTTTAGGTAGGTGGACAGTCTGTGAGTCTGATGTTCTGGTATGGTACCCATGTGACTGTAATGTGATGTTCTTATACAGAGAAACAGGTTGAACCAATGTTTCTTCAGTATCAGTTCTGTAGACTTCTGTTGGACCAATGCCCCAGTGTTTGCTCAAGCTTTGTTTGGGGAGATCTCTTTTGGTGCTGTGTGAACCGTGAGCGGTGCATTGTGGCCGGTGACGTAGAATGACATGGGAGGCGTGTGGCATGCCTTTTCCTGGGCTCTGCTGCTAGTGCCTCTCTGTTGACAGCAATGTAAGTTTGCTTATACATGTTGTATTGCTTAAAGTTCAACTGAACTTTGGAAGCTTTACACGTCTACATGTATGTGACATTGGTTAAGAACATTGTTTAGTAGTGGGAGGGGGTAGAAGGCTAGAAGGTTGTGTGAACGTGTGTAAGACTTAGTGTAACTGCTTTTTAGAATGGCAGCATGGTTAAACTAGGACTAGGAAGCCTGAGTTCGATTCCCATGTTGCCAGATGAAGTTTTGTTTCTTCATGTTGTACTAATAATACATTCATGATTGTAGCATGAATACCCAAACCTTTGCTTTAAAGTTACCTAAGGTTGTGACTAGAGAACAGCTAGCTTGTATGTCTTCATGCATTTGATTAACAGATTTTGACTATACCAAGGCTGATTTTTTTGTAATGTAGTGTCCTGGTGCAGTGCTTTAGTGAAAGATGGCTCTGAAGTATCATAATTCTGAGTAAACTAATCATACAGGTGGCATGTGTTTTGACGTAAGAGAGGGTTACAATGCATGACATTTGATAGGCATTTCTTGTGAAGACAGATCAGTCCTGAAATTCCCTAGAAATTTACCATTTGCACAGCCAGTGAAGTCAGCTTTTCAATCCATTTCTCTGAATAGCATGTGATGAAAACCTTTTTATCAGAGGTGACAGCTATCCTTGTTGTGAATGGTATCTTTTGAATGAAGTTTTCACTCTGATTCACGTATTGTGTTGACTACAGATGCTGCTAGCAGTCTTTCATCCTTTGTACAATACCAGAGTCTCTGCCTTTTATCCAGCTTTGAGAATTTCAATGGATTTAATCTTTTTTCCATATTCTACTTACATGTACAGTTGTATTGCACGAAACTACTTGTTCTTTTTAGGTAATGTCTCATATTATCAGCAGTATTGTATACAATGCTAATGCAGGATTAAAATAACTGAAATTTTTCAATGTCACCAAATGAAATCTACCACACTCTTTTTCATTAAAAAAGCCTGGATTCTCCATTTACAAAACACGATTTCTGTAAATCTAAACCAATCAATTACTGGCAATGGAAGATGTCGGCAGTCAGATCTAACGCTTTTTGATTCTAAATGTATGTTTTTGTTTTGGTTAACTGGTTTGTAATGTCAAGGTCTCCCTGGTGGCCATCTTGGAATTTCTCGGTGACCTTTGTTTGGGAAGGGTCAAAAGCACTTAATACTTCAAATAGTGTAGCAGTACAGGTGTCTTTTTCTTGACATTCTTGTACACAGTTGTGGGTTTACATAAACAGTTCTTTCTTTGCAAGAGCTTACAAATGTACAAAACTAACCATCAAGGTCAAAGTTAGATCTCTCAGAAAAGTTGCTTTGTTTGAAAGTAACTTATTGTCATAGTCAATTTGATGCAACTACATTATGTAACATGCATTGTCAAAACAGCAATACTGCCCTGTTGGGTCACAATACTTTGATAACTCTGTATGGATATTGATTTTTAAAATTGGGAATTTTTTTTTCTCTCGTTTGGCATTTTGTTTTACAAGTCATGCTTTTTTAATGACTTCTTAGTCGTTTGTCATGGTTTGTAGTACTAGGGTACAATATAAGACCTACATGTACATTTGTAAGATACTCTCATACTTAAGGATTGTGCCAAAATTTGATATGGGAAAAATCGCACACTGTGCATATTCATTATCCATAATTGTTGTTCAAGCAGAAAAGTACTTGTAGTTAACTGCATGTAATGACAAGATGAGTGCATGTGTGTCTTTCCTGTAGCATACATTTGGTACAGTCCTATGTAGTTACCATGGTGAAATGAAGTGAACAGCAGTCCTGTTCCTCCCAGTGGTGTTCAGCCTGTCAACACCAGGTGCTGAGGGACCCCATTAACACAAGCACCAGCTTAGTCTTACAGCACAGGCCACATGTGGGAAAGTTACACTCTCAGCTACTGATGTGAATGCCAGCTACAGTAGACCTGATCCTACACTGTCTGTTACAGTTAGCAGTTCAACCAATGACAGCATATGGCAATTAGCAGTTTGTCAAATGCCTACTGTACTTAAATTTTCATGCTTTTATCTTGTATTTCTATGTTTTGATAGAGGTGGGCGGGGCTACATGTATGAGATCAGTATATAAAGCTTTGACAAGTAATTCCTTTATCACAACTACAATTGTTTTCTTCACCAATGTTATGCTGCCTTCTGCTGCCTTTATCAGCTATACTACTCCTTGCCGCTAGGTGGCGCTGCAGCAAGAAGAATGCAGTCCCACACATGACTGAGTCGATATCCCCAGTCTCTGTTCATGTCAATTTTAATGAAATCATAGAAAGCTTTAATGAAATCATTGTTAGCTTCAGTTGTGTTGCAATGTTCACAGTCAAATTTTTGAGCCATGAATCTCTGTTACCTAGTTGTTCATGGCAAGTTCAGTTTAGTTTATTTCTGTTCAGTTTAGTTCAAGTTCACCTCTCCCTATTATTCCCTGTCTAAGTGTGGGAAGGGGGCATCACTTGTATCTCTTACAGTGAAGCGGTTGGGAAAATAAGATTCACAGACCTATGACGTCAGACCTTTTCTCAGCCTTCCACAGATGTTGTCTCTGAAATGTTTGTAAGACATGACCCAGTGTGTCAGGCCTTACTTAGACCACAAAAACACTGGATAAGGTGTCTGAAACATCACACCACAGTCTTGGACCTGGCGTGCCACAACCTGGACATGGTGCTGATTTATTTGATCAACAAACTAGACGTGATGTATGTGTTTCTTGGTTATTCATGGAAAACTGCAACGACTGATGAATGTGAAGCAATGCTGTTAGTGTTCTCCCATTATAGTATCAATTACCAGAAATGTTAGGACTGGAGACAAACAGTTTGGCCAGCAGTCTGTTGGATGCAGGTAGCTGAGGGATATCATATGCCTGTGGGAAGAAATAAACTCAAGCTCAAAGTCATTCTACTTCCGTACACCCCTATAGACTAGTTGGTATTGTCCAGGAAGGTATCTAGATGTGTAGTGGTACTGGTAGGTTG